AATTGAAAAAAATTAGAAATGATAGAAAATTGAAATATATTAGAAATGATAGAAAATTGAAAAAAATTAGAAATGATAGGGAATTGAAATATATTAGAAATGATAGAAAATTGAAATATAGTAGAAATGATAGGAAATAGAAACAAGTTAGAAATAATATAAAATAGAAATTTGTACATTTCTATATTAGAAATAATAGAAAATAAAATTATTTGTATATTCCTATATTAGAAATAATAGAAAATAAAATTATTTGTATATTTCTGTATTGGAAATAATAGAAAATAGAATTATTTGTACACCCCTATATTAAGAATAACAGAAAATAGAAAAACACACAAACACGACATTATCTCGTTAAGTGTTCCTTTAATATAAGTGTTCCTAAAAATATGAAAGTTACTTCAAGTCAATAATTTTGTTCACACCCCTCACCAACAAGAAATTTACCTGAATGCATCGAAATTTCGGGTTAGTCTCGGGTTAGTCCGGGTTCGAGTCGCGAAAATACCGGAAGTTCGAGCCCGGAAAAACGTTCCGACCCATAAATTCGAGTTCCCGTTACACCGCCGGGTGTCAGGTACTGTTGAGAGGGGCCGAGGGAAATCGGTTAGCAGGTTAAAAGACAATCGGGTAATCGAGGGGCGTGAAGGAGTCGTTCCGGCGATTCCGTTCCAGGCTCCGTCGATTAAATCTCGTTACAGCGGCTCGAGTAACGAGAGAGCGGGCCCGCCGCCGCGGTCTCCGCCTCTCTTCCTCTCTCTTTCTCTCTCTCGTATCATTGCATAATTGACGGCAGGCTCCGCTGGTATTTTAATTACCGGCGGGCCACGCGGCGAAACGTTCTCCCAGCGGTTGGCTTTTCACCGGTAATTTATTGTTCGGCCCGGAGGCAACGGTCGGTTCCCATTTCCTTTTCGCGTTTACGTTGATGCCGCGCGCGGCTTTGAATATTTCAAACGTGTCGAACCACCCCCCCCCTCTCTACCTCTCTATTTCTCTCTTTCGCTCTTTATTTCCCTCTTTTGCTCTCTATTTTTCTCTCTTGCTCTCTATTTTTCTCTCTTGCTCTCTCTCTCTCTCTCTCTCTTGCTCTCTATTTCTCTCTCTCGCTCTCTATTTCTCTCTCCCGCTCGCTATTTCCCTCTCTCGCTCTTTATTTCTCTCTCTCGCTCTCTATTTCTATCTCTCTGGCTCTCTCTCTTTCCTCTCTCTCTCTCTCTCTCTCTATTTCCCTCTCTCGCTCTTTATTTCTCTCTCTCGTTCTCTATTTCTATCTCTCTGGCTCTCTATTTCTCTCTCTCTCTCTCTCGCTCTCTCTCTACTTTTCGCTCTCTTTTCCTCTCTCTCTCTCTTCCTCCATCTCTCTCTCCGATACAATACGATCCACCCTCTCACCCCTATTCGCATTCTCTCCCCGCGATTCCACAGGAAAAACCGAAACTCCGCAATTTTCCCCGCATCTCGGTTTCAGATCATCCCCCTGCTGGTGATAAAGGCCTGCGTGGTTGCCGCCATACCCCTGATGATACTGCACAGGTTGTTCGTCACCACCATCGACGTCAAGTACGTTAATTAAATCATTGAACGAATCGGCCCGATTTCGTCGCGTTCCCATCGGTGACCGGTAGTCGATATCGACAACGCTTTGTTTTCTTGACGCTAAACCTACCCGTAATAATGATCATTATTACGGTAATAATTAGACTGCGGATCTTTATGCATTTATGGTAAAATTGAACAGATCATATAGAAGACCGTGAAGGCATTAGATATATTTAAAGATATTCTTACATCATTCTCAACTAGTTATTATACATTATTAGAAACATTATAAAAGAAACAGAAATATTATAATCTATCTTGTATTTTTTACAATTAACCTAGACGATTCTTATTTCTCATAAACATCCGCAGTCTGGGTACGAATAATTAACGACAGTCAGAGATAAGAAAACAAAGCATTACCTCTCCGTATCGATTATCGGAAACCAAATTCCGATCGTCGATAATTGTTATTCGCAACCATTAGATAATTCTGGTTATCCGTGATGGTTGTTCGTAACGAACATCCGGTTTCGTCGATTATAATGGTTATCGGTAACGAATTCTCGTTATCGATCATTGTTGCTCGCAGCAAAAGTAAATTCTCGCCATTAAAAATTGCTAATGGTAACCAGAAACAATTCCCGTTATTTCTAATGGTTCAATCCTGACGTAAAGGTATCATATTAAATCGCAGAACAATTTGAAAAATTTCATTTTCATTTTCCCTATCGTAGTACTTATTTGTTGTTCATTTGATTTTTCTCCGTTCTCACGTTATTTCAACATCTCGATCCTTATATACAAATATACAATATAATTATTTTTATATTTATTATTTACTATTATTCATAATATAAGTAATAATATTTTGTATAATTATCACTTTATATAATTTTTATTGTCATTATTACCTCATATATGAATAACCTTACATTTATCCGTTCATTGTATCATTTCTTTCCTCTCTTTTTCATTTCTTTTCAATACGTTTTTGTACTGCAATTCACGGACTATTTTCCGTTGATAAAAATAAATGCAAAAATAAACGCTGCACAGAATTGAACGCATGATAAAGCGGCTTGCGAATTTCGACGTTGCAGCAGCATTTCATTGTGCATCGCAATGAAAATGACTGCTAATAGCATTCGCGTTCGCGAACGCGTTAACCGGAACCATTGTTCGCGCAGGCTGTCCGACTACCACCGCTACGAGATCCCGTCCATCCCCCGATTCTTCGACCTGCGGAACCCCCGGAGCCTGAAGGTAAGCAGCTTCTAATTAACCTTTCGTCGCGGTTCCCCGATTAGCCGTTGCGAAGAGCCGAGAGCGATCGTCCGAAACACGCAAGAACCGGGGTTGTTTCGTCGTCCCCGTTTTGGCTGCGTGTAACGCGCGTCGATGCCGAATCGATAGGGGTGAAAAGACGATGCAATATTTTATTTTCGCCCCGCTGTCACCCTTCGTTACTCGAAACTGGCATCGATTCGCCCGGTACCCAGTTCGCTCGCGGTACCAACCGAGAGATAGTCCCGCGAGGATCGAGCCCGGTGCGTGTATCTGTCTATCTTCTTCATCCATCACGGTCGGTCGCGAGTACTACCGATCGCCGTCTATTATCGATATTCCCAGCAGGCCCGGTCTTCTCGCGTTCCCCCGAACCGTCCCGAATACTCGATTCGATTCGTCGATACAGGAACGCGGCGATCCGACGCAGCGTCGAGTCAACGCCGTCGACGACCAATTCTCGACGCAACTGTGTCGTCACGACACCCTTCGTTGCGCGAAGGGACAAATCGGATGTTCAGGATATCGACTAGTAACTGCATAGTTGTCGAGGGGTGTGAGGAGCGGAGCGCGGTAATTTTTTCTTAATTTTTCTACAGCTTGTAAACACAAATGGACAATTTGGGAGGGAGAGATAGGATTGTTCGAGCTTTGCACACCATTTTTGTAATTATTGGCAATCGGTAATTATAATGATGAGGTGCAAGGTTCGAATAATCGTGTCTCATTTTCTCAATTCGTCGAAGGAAATTTTATTTGAGGAGTATTTCAAGTAAATTCGTCGAAGAAAATTAAATTCGAATAGTATTTCAAGTAAATTCGTCAAAGGCAATTTAATTAGAGTAGTATTTCAAGTAAATTCGTCGAAGGAAATTTAATTCGAGTAGTATTTCAAGTAAATTCGTCGAAGAAAATTAAATTCGAGTAGTATTTCAAGTAAATTCGTCGAAGGAAATTTAATTCGAGTAATATTTCAAGTAAATTCGTCGAAGGAAGTTTAATTCGAGTAGTATTTCAAGTAAATGCGTCGAAGGAAATTTAATTCGAGTAGTATTTCAAGTAAATTCGTCGAAGGAAATTAAATTCGAATATTATTTCAAGTAAATGCGTCGAAGAAAATTTAATTCGAGTAGTATTTCAAGTAAATTCGTCGAAGGAAATTCAATTCGAGTAGTATTTCGAATAAATTCGTCGAAGGAAATTTGATTCGAGTAGAATGAATTTCGAGTGAATTCTTCGAGTAAAATTTTATGCACCTCTCGCGGCAGCACCTTTAAGTAAACTCTCAACGTCCTAACCGACTCCTTCTCCTCACACCGTGGTTGCCACCCTCAATTAGACCGTGCCAAAGAGAAGTAAAAAGATAAAAAAAAAGACAAAAAGATTACGCGTGCACCGGCCATCATCCCTTACGCAACGGCCGAAGAGGATTAAACTAAAAGCGACCTTGAACATTGTCGATCCTCCGTCGAGACGCGAATTTCTCTCGGAGCTACCCTGCTACCCTGTTACACGGGGTTGAAACCTGGCACACCGCGTTCCCGTATCTTCCAGGTCATCTTCACTGAATCGGTTCAAGGTCATTTTTGCCGGTCTAATCAGTTTGACCGCGCGGCGATCGCCCGGCGAGCATTCGTCGGCTAAAATGACCGGACACTGTGGGTTCCAGGGCTCTTGACCGACTCGCGAGCCGGCGGCGGGCCTGCTCTATGTAGCCCATCGGGTCACGCGAGCGACCGTAAGGAATGCCGGGTGGGGTGTCTCGGTTATAGAGCGCAGGGTGCGCCAAACTCGGGTGAAACTCGGTGGATGCCAGGCCGTGGAAGCGAGAGGCGGAGGTTTCGGAGCAGCAGGTTCGTGCTGCTAGAGAGGGTGAAGTCGGGTCGCGAGGATCAGCATCGGGACCACCCCGGTTCTGTTCGGTTCTGTGGGACGAGAGGAGAGCAGAGTACGCTCTGGGAGATAGAGCGCGGACGTTCGACCGCAGTGGGGTGGAAAAGTGACGAAGTTCTGTTGAAATCGAAGAACTTTTCGCAGAGATCAGATAATTTTTCACGTTAAAGCTGAAGTGTTGTTTAAACACTGAAATATTTTTTAACCTTGTACGCTTGTGCCGAACTTTTGGAGTATTTCATACAAATTGTGATTCATCCGGTATTTGGCTCGAGTGGATTTTTTACATGCCATACATCGTTTCTGTTAAATACATTCATTTATATGTTTATGCATTTATACGTTTATGCATTTATACGTTTATGCATTTATACGTTTATACATTTACACGTTTATGCATTTATACGTTTATGCATTTATACGTTTATACATTTATACGTTTGTACGTTTATACTTTCATACATTTATACATTATTTCCCGTGCATTTTGACACGCTGATAAATTTATATTAACTATACGTGTTACTGGATGCATCACATTTTTCTTAGAGAATTCATAATTCATCTTGTATTTATGGAATAAGACATATTAAATCTTCCTTACTGAAAAATAAACCGATCAAAAGAATGCTAATATTTAGTATGTCTTATTCGATCAAGATAAAGTTAAGTATGCCCAAAAACAAACCAAAGACACAGCAATTGGTCACCCTACAGTAACCGGCTTTACTACCCCATTGGATAAATCTAATTCTAATATTTCTGTTCTGTGTAGCAAAAAAAAAAATGGGAGTTTACCTGTAAATTATATTGAATTAGATTAGATTAAATTATACTAAATTAAACTAAATATTACATTAAATTAAATTATATTAAATTAAACTAAATATTACATTAAATTAAATTATATTAAATTGAATTAAGTTGTATTAAATTAAACTGAATTACATTAAATTAAATTATATTAAATTGTATTAACTTTTGAATTAAATGAAATTATATTAAATCAAATAATGTTAAACAAAATTTCGTTGGAACGTTTCAAATCCAACATCAAGATCAAAGACACTATCACACTATGTATATCCTAAAAAATCACCCTTTAACCCATTTCTGCAAATTCTTCGACTTCGACGGAACTTCTTGAGCGCACTGTGCGGCTCGGCGCGAAGCGTAGAGCAAGCGCAAACCAGCAGCCTCGAGAACACCGTCGGGGGTTGAAGAAAAAGTGCTCGCCGCTGGAGCAACGAAGAGGTGAGAGAGAACGGAACGAGGACGACGAGTATCAGCAGCAGCAGCAGCAGCGATGGCACCGAGGCGACAGGATAGTTGGCCATTGTACGATGTATCGAGGGCGCGAATCCTTGAGAACTTGCGGGGAGATAGAGAGAGAGGCCGAGAGAGAAAGAGAGGGAGAGAAAGAGAGACAAAGCCGTCGAGCACGCGAAGCTCGGCAAGCTCGTTCGGCTGGAAAGGGTCTTGCGAGTTCCATCGAGCCGGTCGATGGATGCTTCGCGACACGCGTGTGGCGACCGTGACGATGCCACGGAGCAGGAACGAACGGCCACGAGAGATCGTCGATATCGCTCGCGAGGGCGTCATTCCCATCGCTATATTTAATTTCATTTAACCCTCTGTTGCATACGGCCGGACTGGCAGGCAACTGAATACTCAAATGTTCCGCAGCTTAAAGAGCAGAATTCTGAATCACAAGCAGCGTGGCTGCTTCCTTACGACGTTCCACGCGTTTCTACTTGAGACCAGCACCGATAGATGCCACCGGCTGTTCGATAATTAATAGACAGCAAAATAATGCAACATAAAAATTGCCTGCATCGCTTCTCGGAAACGGAAGTCGTACGGCAATCTTTCATTTATACAGCATCAATTTATTGGCCAAAATGGAGGAACAGTCATAAACATCGTTAAACAATATTGTCTTTGTTTAGTTTAATTTTATGTTATTATTTAAGTGTATATTTATATATATATATCTAGTAGATATTTTTTAAGTTGTTGTAACAATACATGCAATGGAGGGTTGATTTAATATATTTCAATGTAGGGGTGAAAACACCCGTTTTCTTTCTGTAATATTCCAATAGCATACAAATAATGCATTATTGTTCTATAAATCCTTTAATCCTTCTGCCATTTGGAATCGCAACTGTTCAGTTTTGTCGTAAATGGGTAAAATCGGCGGTCTTTCCCTCGAATTTTCTGACAGGAAGGGTTCGTCCAGTTAAAAAATGCTGGATTAAATCGACTCGATATTCAAATAAATAAATCGATTGGATATTGAAATGAATAAAATCGATTCGATATTGAAATCAATTAAATCGATTCCATATTGAAATAAATTAAATCGATTCCATATTGAAATAAATCAAATCAATTGGACATTGAAATAAATTAAATCGATTTCATATTGAAATCAATTAAATCGATCCGATATTTAAATAAAATAGATCAATTCGCAGCTGAAATAAATGTGTCAAATTCAATATGGAAATAAATAAATCGATTCGACATCGAAATAAATAAGTCGATTTTTGATATTGAAATAAACAAGTCGAAGTCTAAGTTCTCGCTGTTGTTGTTAACGAAATGAAATATCCTGTAAAAAGGGTCTATATAGCCGTAGCTGCGAGGAGAGACGTTAAGGGGGTGCAGCAGCAAAAGAGAGAGGGAACGAGAGAGCTAGGGGTTGCGGGCAGAGCCGAGTGAGAAAGAGAGTGAGGGAGAGAGAGAGAGAGAGAGAGAGAGAGAGAGAGAGAGAGAGAGAGAGAGAG